ATATTTGTCATACAACAAGTGACACGTACCTCACGTGACTCACTACAGCACAAAAACATTACCAGTCACACAACCACAGTTACCAAAACAATAATTAAAATGCATCATAGTAAATAGCAGAAATAAAAAAATAAAAAAACAAAGAGAAACACACCCATAAATCTGACAACTAACAATGTCATTTAAAACATTTACAAACTCAACGCCTCAGTTACTAATCCATTAAGAATGGCCTTAACAAAGAGACCAACTCCTTCAGCTTCAAGTCTTTCTGTAGCTGATTCCAGTCGGAGGAAGCAGCAAACTGGAAGGATGTTTTACTGTAATCTGTATAAACCTTTGGTATAATAAATAAAATAAATCAGAATGTGGAGAATAACCTTCTGAGGACTTTTGAGCAATATAGGACAGGAGATAAGGGCGAAGTAAACCCAAAATCACTTTGTAAAAGAGATCCTTCCCATGACAGAATCTGGGGTGGAACATGGACCAGAACACGGTGGTGAGTGAGCGCTCCAAGTCCAGTTAAAAACATAAGACTCCATGATATACAGAGTCAAACGCTGATAGTAAGAGCATGCGTTTAAATAATGTCTCTGTCGTCTAAGATGGACAAAAACGTGGAAGTGACAAGAAGTTTTCTTGCCTCAAAAGATAGACACAATCTAAAAAAAAAGCACAAATCCAACTTCAGCTTGAACTTTTTCCTCTAGCTGTTGGATACCGGCTACAAAGACCAGAACATAATCAATAACAAAATCTAAGTACAGTATACTGAGATATACTTCAGCCTGAGAGCCTTGAAAAGTAACAGTGGGCTTCAACAGCTGTGGTTCACACTTGGGCTCAATAATAGAAAACAGCATTATTTATGATTTATGAGCGTTCAACTGATAGATGAATAAATACACACTACAGAAAAAATTAAAATGCACCGCTAATTGAGGGAGCGCTTTAGAGGAAGTGTCAGAAAAAAAATACTGCTTAAGAATGAAGACAAACAAAATGCATTACCGAAATAATAGTAAATCTCTAAACTTTAAATGTTTCTACTAAAACTAAATGTTTTGTTTAGAAATACTCATTATTCTTAGCACGCCACTGTTGCACATAATTGTACTGTCACCTGTCAATGATCAGAGTTTTAGTTATTGGCATTTGGTTTAATGCAACACGCATGTGTGTGTTTTGTGGTTTTCTGCAGAGCCCAACACTGGAGATGTTGGTGCTTCTCAGGGCTCGTCAGGTGGGCTCGGACCAACTGGACCCTCTAGAGGTGGACTGTTTGCTGGGGGGTTTCCCACCCTCAGACCTACAGGACACAGAGACTCAGCAGGCAAGACCCCAGGTTGGTGCAGGAGTCGCCGGTTAATAAAACGATGCAGTTTTAGTCATTATCTCATGACCAGAGTGTGTGTGTGTGCATGTGTGTGTGTGTGTGTGTGTGTGTGTGTGTGTGTGTGTAGTATCTCGATCCAGCTCAGCAGCCTCCCTGAGGCCGCTGTGGAACCCGCCCACACCGGCTGACCCGACCGGCCCAGAGTCTCACAGGACCGCAGACATCCAGCGTCTGCTCACCTCCTCCTCAGCTCCCCCCTCCCCTTCTTACAACACCAAGCATGCACCTCCTTTCCACCTGTCCTCTCCCTCCACACCTCCACCTGCTCCACCTTCTGTTCCTCCCCCGCCCCCTCCACCCCAAGCCCTCCAGGAGCGGCCGGCCAGTAGGCCTCCTTCTCTCCCCTCCTGCCCTCCCCCTCCCCCTCCATCCCAAGTTACCAAGCCGACATGGCTGCCGATCCAGCACCACACACCTGCGTCTCAGCCCTCTGCTCCACCTCCCCCACCTCCCTCATCCGTCCCAGGGGACCGCTCCTCGGGCTGTTTCTACTCCCCACCTCCTTCCGTAGTCTGTTCAGAACCGTCAAGGTTCCCAATTCTACGTGACAGCCCCCTGGGACCTCCTCCACCTCCCCCTTTACCTCCACCCTTCACCCCAAGCTGCCCATCCACGCTGCCTCCACCCCCACCCAAAGTGACTCCGATGCCCTCACTAGCTTTACGCTCACTGCCCCCCTCATACCCCTGCAATGTTCCCACTCGACGGCCGCCAGCTGTGCCCAAGGGTCCAGGTCAGTGGTTTTTACACATGTTTTCTGCCTCAGGCACAAAAACTGGCATTAACGAAAACCAACTTGTGATGTTAGAAAAATTGTGAAAGGTTTGCTGACAGTACCCGGACAATGCACAGACTCAGCAGTTTCAGAGAAGTATGGTTATCATGTAAAACAAAACAAAAAGAAAAGAAAAAATATGTTCAAATTAAAGCGAGCCTGAACTCCAAAGTGAAGAGTTTGAAGAAACGGAGATGACCTGTGGGTAGCACTTTGTGACAAACTGTTTTCAGATTATTGACCAAAACACATTAAGGGATATTTAGGTTTTGGTGAGTAGTAAAAAATATATAATAATAATAATAATTAGGGATGCACGATATTATCGGCATGGTATCGGTATTGGCCAATATTAGCGATAATGTTAAATATTGGATGCTGGTCATTCCATCAAAATAACTCACTGATATAAAAGCCTCTTTTTATACATATATATATATAT